GGCCACCACTATTCGCCCTAAAGTATTCAGTAACTACAGCCACCAACCGAGTGAAAATTGAATTATGAATGAAAGGGCAAAATCGTCCAACTTTTCCTGCATAACCTGAAACACGAAAACAAAAATATCAGTACATTCAGGAAATTAAAACGAAGAAACTGCCTGAAGAGAGTTTCGCCTAAAAATGCCGCACGCGCCGCCACTCTCCTATGCACGTGGGGTTCAACGCCGCCGCTGACCTCACGCGCCGGTCACTCACTAGCTCCTCGACCTACCTAACGCGCTGGTAGTCTTGGATTTTCCAACAGATCACTGGTTTGGCTGTAAATGTTGATTGGAGGCGTGGTCTTGGATTATACTTCATAGGCTTCAGCCGATGACTGAAGTTGTACATCGACACCAAAATTAGTCAGACGAATCCTATAACCTACTCGGGCCATTCGAAGTAGCCTAATTAAGTTAGTGTTGCTCATGACCCAACCCAAACTCTTGGACGGCTTGTTTGGTTAACCCATTTGTTTGCTATCACTTGGGCCCTTACCATTCTTTAACCTAAAAGCCCACTTATAGTACATATATATTTGGTGCCCCCATTACTGTTTCCATTGTGTGTGAAGTGAGATAGTCGTGTATTGAAGAGAAAAACCGAATTCCCTCTTTTGCTTGGTGCTTGACCGAGGCCTTTTAGTTTCTTCTTCTTCTATTGCCTTTGTAGTTGTCATTTGTGGCTATTAACCTTCATACTCCTTATCCTTTGTTGGCATTGAAGAGCAACCGGGTTTGGGAGTTTTGGTAGTTTAGATTTGGTCTCTTTGTGGTGTCGATTGATTGGTGAACTGAGCCCAAAAATTGGTGATTGGAGTCCAATATTCAACAAGTGGTATCAAAGCTCAGGGCCCATAAACTTAGCCGGAGGAACGCATCAGAAAGAGTGGTGGAGGTCCTCCCTAATTAGCCTTATGTCTGGCTATAAATCATTAGCGTTTGAGGTCGAAAGTCTTCCTGACATAAAAATATGGTGGTCAGGCGGCGTTTCACGGGTTACCTTTCTTCTTAGCACAGAAAGGGACACCGTGCGGCAGTAGTCTGCTCCGCTAGACTACCTTCCGCCTTCTCTCGGTCGTTTCGGGACGAAAAGAAATTTGATCACAATTTAAAGAAAGCTTACAACACGAAATTGAAATGCATTGAAATAAACTTGATCATTGATTACTTGAAAACTGAACATTACATTAGATAAAAGCAGGAAATTACAATGGCTAGTGCAGGGGGCAAACACTAGAAAGCTTGAAAGTTGTTTGAAAGACTAATACCCC